TGGTTGAATGAATCCCTTGCTCAACATCTACTCCACTTGATCTTTGCATTCTTCCAATTCGTTTGCAGTCAAACGATATGAAGCTTTGCAAGTTGGTGTACTTCCAGCTATCACTTCAATCTTGTGATCTACTCACCTCTTTGATGGTAATCCTACAGGTAGATCACCTAGAAAAACATCTTTATACTCCATAAAAATGTCGTTCAAGGACTCCAGAATATAAAGTTTGTCTGTGGATCCAATATCTCCTATAAGTCCAAGGAAACGTACATCATCTCTAGAAGTGGATGTTGTACGCATCACAAAGAAGGGTAAATTCCTATTCTGAGATCTAATTCTATCTCCATAGATCTTCCATCCACTACTTGTAATCACTTTTCTTCTTCAATCTACCTCCGGATTATATTGCTCCATTCATGACATTCCAAGGATGACATCATATCGAGCTAAACGAATTACTCTTCATTCAATGTTCTCCTTGTATCTACCTACGGATAATTCTACACTCCGTGGTAGTGTTTCTACCACTTCAGTTTGCTCGTTTGGCAATTCAACTTCTTCACTCACGTCTTTCATCAATATCAAACCTAACTTCATAGCAACACTCCTTGATAGAAAATTCTTAGTTGCTCCATGATCAATTAAAACTCTCACCTTGTGTCCTTCCATTAAACCATCCGTGACAATGAGTTGAGCTTGCTTCTTATTCCTTCCATGAGCTCCCAACCATTGACTTCTTCCAACCTCGCCTTTTTTTCGCTTTGTAGAACCAGTAAGGCCGCGAGGCAAGTTTACTGGTGATCTTCGTTTCTCGAAACTTCTTTCTCCACCTCTTCATACTCTATCCCCTTCATGTTGTTGAACGGTCGTCGTTGCATTAGCCGTACTCCTTGTGGTGTCGGCCAAATTTAACAAAACTTGGCAATGTGATCCATTTATCCACATGCATTGACAATTGTCACGAACTCCAGCTCCTACTCAAACCATTCCGTTATTTGCATAACCTTTTTGCAAATTTGGAACTCCTAGTCGCCAAATCTCACCTCCAAATCTTAGTGGTGGTCCTCTTGTTGGTGCAAAACCTTATCTACGTCAAAGCTTTCCCAACTCCATCGGTGTTGGGCCAGATGGATCTCAAAAAATGCTTGCTGGTTCACCGTGTGTGACATCAAAAGCACTCAAAATTCATTGAGCAATTGCAATTGCTTAATTCACAGTAGATGAATTGCTTACCATCACCTCCTTTCAAATTTGATACTTTAAGCCTCGTTTGAATACGTTAAAGGCTTCTGCTCCATTCATGACCATGATAGATACTTGAAGATCACGAAATTCTTCAATGTACTCATGAATACCTCCTTTCTGTTTTAGATCCCACAACTTCATTTTTGCAGTTTGAAGAGAATCCACCGCTTGAAAGTTTTGCAGAAGTATTTCATGCATTTCACTCCACAAAATGGTAGCACCTCGTTCTGAAAGCATTCTTTCCCATGTTGTGTACTATGTGAGAACCTTATCCGTAAGATAAGATCTCATGAACATTCCTGCAATATAATCAGAAACATAAAAATGGGATTATAAATATTCATCCTCATAATCCATCCCTCTAATGTTTTCATTGCTCTACTTCCTATGTAAGCTTCCACCTTACAAGATTTTTCCATTCGAAGCAAAAGATTTGCTTGATCTTCAATCTCTTGAAGACGTCTCCTATTTGCCTCTGCTACATCAATATAAGTTGATTCTAGCTAAACTTGGGAAGCTTGAACTTGAGATTCAACTTCCATCTCTCTAACTGTCTCTCTACTTTCTCACTATCCAATGTGAAGATTTTATCTTCCATGGCTTGTTGCTTGATATGATTATCTAATATCGTTTTTTTCAACTCATTCATTTCCGTCATGATTGCATTGAGAACCTCACCCATATCGATTGATGTTCCCATGCTTTCTCACACTCCCTCTAATACAAAGTGAGTATAATCACTATCTGAGCTCTCAACAAAAGAACCACAAAAGTTACATGTGATTCTATCACAGCTCTATAGTACTACTCTCCATAATTTCTCATAAGAAAATCTCTTCATATCCTCTTCTGTCACGTATACTATCTAATCTTTACATAAGTGCTGAACCGAATCGGAACAGGTGGTTCGCGATTCAAATCCATGAAACATTCAGTATATAATGTATATAGTACAATCCCAAGTTTCTTCATAAGTAACTATTGGAAGAATCAGTGGCTCTCTCGACTCCATCACTCTAGTCATAAAATCTGCACCCCAACAAACCACAAGGTACATCCAAAAATGATGTTTCTCCATGCAACGAAGGTGAATATCGAATAGGTTAGGAATTGGTGAGTGCGGTATTGGATTCCTGTCAATCCCGTCCATATCTGCAAAACCACAATTTCACCTTTCCACCTCTCTCTACATGCAAATGAATGACCTCTACCAACCTCTATACACTCTCAAAACTGCACTCCATCATCAATCACTTGCTATTCCATGAGGCGTAATCCACACTCAAGGAAAAAGCAAGGTCGCTCTCATACCATTGTAACACTAGGGTTTAGAGAGAAGCTCACTCGAAGATAGAAACGTAAACTCTAAAAATGAAAGATACCAACAATGATTCTTCTCTCCCTTATATAACTCTCACCAACAAGTACAAGGAAATAAGATCTTATCCCCATCATCCATCTCACTCCTAGTGGATGGATGACGTGACGGATAACCCTAACAAGCACACGGATCGCTCACGTGGCGCTCCCAACTAACACACTAACTAACACACTCAATCCTTATCTACAAGCACACGGATTGCTGACGTGACACTGTCAACTAACACATTCATTCTCTACCTACCAAGCGCGCGGATTGTTGACATGGCAGCTATGACTAGTGCACACTAAAGTATCTATATCAACATTTAGAGTAACCTTTATTTTAATTCTAACTAACTAAAGATGGTTACAATTGCATTGCTTTAAGTCTTGCAATCCGGCACGCTGATAAATAATCTCCGAAGTCGCGACTCGTTGCAATTTTCTCTTCTTCTTCGAGCGTTCCTCTATCTCGTCCTCCGACTTGTTGACCTCGACCAAAGGCAATGCAAGCGCAATGTTGTATTCCTTGCTAACAACTTCATTGTCTCCCAGCACACCTTCGTCGTCCGCAATCTCCCTCGAGCGGAAATTTCTTCTGCTCGGTTGCAGTCAACAACCCCATCCCTCGGTAGAAGTTGATGAAGAACAGGGACAAATAGTTCACTAATTCCACGAATACCTCGCCAATGTGCTGGAGTGTAATGCTTCATAGAATGCGTGCCCAGTGAATCGGGTTTCCTATCATCACACACTCCATAAATCCGACCTGCCATGTCGCCATGTAAGTCGTTGGGGAAGTCCGAAGAATCTGCATCAGGGCCACCGCTACATGCTTGCGCATCTGATCACGATACTCCGTCGTCCGATACACATTCTTGCGCGAACGAGGTTTCTTGAACAACTACGCGAAAAGTCTTCTCTTCCGCGCAGATCACCTTCACACTATCATTGTCGAAGGTGTAATCATCATTTCTCTTGCGCACTGTCCCAAGACTTTTGCCCAATCCCAACTGAAAATACTATTCTAAAAACATTTTCATTTTTACATGGATAAGAAAATTATGCATATTTCTACGAGAGTTTATATGATGATATTCAAACATTTAATTGTATGTATATACAAGCTGATATGGAATTCCACTTGAATTGTGAATGATTAGTTCAATTTTCAGCTGTAACTTTAACATTGGAAAAGAAGAGAAGAGTATTCAAACATTGAAGATGAGATGTTCTTTATCAATATATAGATCTTTTAAAAGAATTAAGAACTATAAAGTTTAATGATTCTTGTCCGCACAACTCCTAGCGTATCGATGTGACAAAGATCACTAGAAAAGACAACAGCTGTAATTATTATGGAGTTGGCTGACAAGTCAAGTATGCAATGAGAGGATTACTTCTGATAATCCCTCAAACTTGCAGTTTGACAATATTCTCCATAGTAGGGGATTAACATTTTGAAGATGGATATCCTACAACTGTACTACTCGGACGAATAAATTGAATTAAAGTTACATGATTTTCCAACTTTTTTAACAGAGACACAACATTTAACTAAGGTATCACATTTCAAGATTATAATTTAGAAAATAGCATGTAGAGTAACTTCAGTTGTTTACTGTCTTGTCGTTTGAGAACATACACATTCTATCACTCCATTTTGCGTCCTTACTAACAACAAAAAGTTGTTTGCCATATTTTCAGAATACTAGAAAGTTTGGTCCTAAGACGTGAGAAACAAATTACAGTTGAAGGCCCTATCTGCTGCTAGAAGATAGGGCCACATATCGCCACATGGTACAACTTACTTCTGCAAAGTTTCGCTGACACTCAGGGGTACCTTTGCGTCGTATTCTAAGCCCGTGTAATCATGTGCCTAAATGCCATGTTTCAGATTCCGTCAAATCTTCCTATATAAAATATCATATGTTTAATATTTTACATACTATGTTTAGAACCATTTTTCTCTTGGAGCTAAATGTTTGTCCTGGTTCTTCACCTCACAATAATTGCTTTCAGTCCTCCGCCCTGGCTTCAGTTTCTTAACAGAACTCTGACATGAACATGATGTTATCACCACTTCAAAGCAATCCGACATCACAGTTGTGACTAGAGACTACATTAGGAAACTTCATTTCGACCCACCAGATGCTTTCGAACCCTTTTCTCGTTGGCGAGAAATTTTTTTCAGTGACGTAATTATCCATGATGTTACTCTTCCACTACACATCTTCAAACAAAGCGTCTTGTGGCTTACGCGTAGTTATTACAATACGAGGTAACTAGTCATAATTCAAGCTCAGCCAGATAAGAACCTTCCGGGATCATGTTCCCCGTACACTGGGAGTTAACCTCCGTACGTCATAAGGGAAATGAACAAACTATCAAGACAGCTGTGCCACAAACATTTACTAATGTCAAACTCCACCAAACAGACCAAGAACGAGTCGAAGATTTGTAGGCAAAAGTTGTACACAGGTTGGAACCAAACAAAAGTCGAAGAGCTAACTTCTCATCTATTGAAACGTCAAGATAGTTGCGGGTTCTCGAACTCCCATATAATGATTCTCAACCGTTCCCCTTCGAAGGGCTGGGTTTTTGTTCTAAGCCTATTCTACAAACTGGGTATGGCCAAATTACACCCATGCAGCTATCTTTACAGGAGAATAATATGCAGATTCAAAACGCAAGTCTGCAGCCCGCTGATGCCTACACCCCTTGCAAGGAGTACACCTCGAGTGGAGATTAACTTTGGCCTCTGGTACACTGCCGCAAATACTCACAAGAATTGAGCAGTTTCAGTCTCTCTCTGTTTCCACCGTACCAAACCGCGTATGAAGGCAACGGAAAGAAACCTGCTGGTGACAACACTAGGAGCATTGGCAGGAGGACCTGGTGCTCGAGCTCCCACTATGCACATTGTGTTTAACATCTCAAAATACGGACTCATTTTGCTCCTAATTATCGTCTGATTTGGTATTACATACAAATGTGACTATCGCTGGTACAGCTTTTGTATTACACTCCTTGTCCTTGAGACGCAGAATGAGGTGGGACGATTTCACATAGTTGGCGTCGATCCCTTACGTGACTTTGACTCTTGATATTCACGTAACTAGGCAAACAAAGATCCTACCGCTGTTGCTGTTGCTGCTGTCTATAATCTCCCCTGTGAGGAGAACCTGGTGGCGGCGCTCCAAACCCGGAGTGATTTGCCCGCGCGTACTGTCCATCTACATCAATATACGAATTCGGAGGCTGCATTTCAGAAAATGAGCGATGTCGTTAGAAATTGAGCCTCTACTCGGAAAGCACGTCTCAAGGGATTGTTGAACTGTGTACACACTCGACGAAAATGCAGAACTCCGTTGATGATGACCGACAGTAATATCTTATAACTTCGACCAGGACACCGTTTGAGTGAAAGGATGAACAACTACCTGTTGTGGCATATACTGCTGACCACCAAAGTTGCCGGGACCTTGAGGTAAAACTCCAGAGTTCGGCATTCTGCACAACCCAAGCAAGTTGTAAAGAGCGTAAGACGAAATCTATAAAATAGGAGTGACTGACCTTCACCAGTCTTCAGGAGACATCCAAAAGCTTGAACAGTATTCACAACTGCTTCCTTCAGTGCAGCTTATCCCGTATGCCTTGGTGCCGACTTCAGGACCCAAATCTTTTGCACCCCAAACAAAAAAGATATTTAGCTGCTAAATGCAGCACCGCTTGCCACAAAATGCCCGTGTACAAATGACATACCCATATTGCTGACCTCTCCCACTACCCATAGGTAGCCCACGTCCACCACCATAGCCACCACCTTGTGGGTAACCAGCACCATAAGTTCCTGGAGCTCTTCCCGCTTGACCGGGCATCCCCGGAGGTGCAGTGTACCCTCCGCCTTGTGGAGGAGGGATACCATAAGGACCGGCAGGACCACCTCGGTTAGCACCGTAGCCGCCTGGATTGCCACCAGCGGGAGGACGTCCTTGGTTCAAATGTCGGCCTGGGGGTCCACCAGGTCCTCGAGCCCCAGCACCATAGTGATGTCCTGGTCCCGATGGAATTGCAGGTGGTGGACCATGGGAGGGTTGACTTGGTGCTGATCTTGGACCATGTCCACCTTGAGCAACGGGGAGGCGCTGATGATGTGCCTGTTGATGTTGTGTCTTCTGCCTCTTGGCTAGCTCCTCCTGTTGTTGTCTCTGTTGTTGTCTCTTCTTCTTCGTTTGAAACTCATGTGATGCTTCATACTTTGGAAGGCTGCAAGTTTCAATAGCATCATGAGCAAAAGGCATCCCAAAACATAGAAGACTCAGATGTTAAATCAATACTTAATTGATTGGTGGTCTACCCCTATTCACAGCTGTTTTATTGGAAATATGACACCATTCGTGTGATAAAAAGGAGAGCCACCCATAGTTGGACAAAGATCTCAGCTCTATCACGTTGCTCTAAATATTTCAAGCCTGTTCATTCAAGTACTAACTGGCCCTAACGTTATTCCACTACATGCATTTATTCTGCTTATTCCTGGGACATGGTAGTCAAAAGAGAGTGTGAGAGCTCAGCATTCAAAGAACCGGAACAAGCCAGCTCGTAACTATTTGTCACGGAGGCCGGAACCAATTGCCCATTATTTTAACTCAAAAAAACAAAATTTTAAAACTTCCAATGCGTTAGGCACAAATCAGAGACACCAACCTGCTTGGAAGACAAGGCAAAGGATCCACCCAGAAGTACTCGCCGTCTAGTGCATCCTTCGCTGTTACTCTCTGCAGAATGAAACATAAGCATGCATTTGATCAACAAGAGATGGCTTGAGAGCTACATGTGAAGAAAATATGTATTCTACCGTAATAGGGGATCTCTTCAATAGAGATTAACTGTAAAGATCAACTCCGGCATGTAAGGCAGCAGCATTCTATATGGAATACATAGTCTTTGAAGAATATCATACAGATGGAAGAGGAATACCTGGGCAGGATCCAATGTAAGCATGCGTTCCAAAAGTTCAAGCGCATTTCGATCAAAACTTTCACAAGAAAGACATCAAAAGGTCACTTCAAAACACGCCATAAATACCAACACGATGTATACAACGACAATGCTCTTGAAGACGACTTGAAGCTTAAAAAACAAAACAGTGCAGGTCAAAAAAATCTATCACCTGGCTAAAAAGTTATCACCAGATATAGGGGGCAACTACCATCAAAGAAAAAAGAGAGAAAGTGCTCACTGTTTAAAAACATCCTTGACCCGTCGCTTCATGGGTCTTTCAGGTTTGAATTTATGAAAATAAGTTAGCTTCGAGACACCCGGCCAGATCGATTCATCAGGTGAGCCACAGAGTTCAAAGATCTTCGTGAGCTGTTCAATCTGCATCAGATTATGGACGTGAGCATTCAATATATCCACAATAAATTCAGCAATACAGTTGAGTTCAAACTTTATAGGATGTACCTCAGTTCTGCCTGGTAGTATGGGCTTCCCATGAAGAAGCTCAGCGAAGATACACCCAACAGACCACATATCCACTGCTGGGCTATACCGCGTGGACCCCATCAGAAGCTCTGGAGGCCTGACATGTTAAACGAACAGGTAAGTGATGTTCATTTCAGACCAACGTCCAATATTGCAGATTCAATAGTAGAATTTCATTGTTCCATACAACAATCCTCGTGAACGACCTTACTTCACCAAAAGTGCCCCACCGTCAACCAGACGTCAAAAAGGGCACGAAAACATCCTGCATCCATACCTGTACCACAGAGTGATCACCCTGTTCGTCAGCGGCTGACCATTGTTGTCATTAGTAAAAGAACGTGCTAGTCCAAAATCGGCGAGCTTCAGATTTCCATTGTTGTCGATGAGAAGATTGGACCCTGCATAAGAAGTTATGCCATCAGTCAGATATCTTCAAAGACCTACATCGTGATAAAGCAGAAGATTTTTGCAGCAATTTCTTACAACTACAATTTCCTTTTGATATGACTTATTTGAAGTTTATATGAACCGTTGTAGCTTACACGGCTACTTAGACCTATGTGCAAAAACAGAAGACGAAGATAGATACAGAAAATAACAGACTTCCAAGCGGGCTCATGTCGTTTACAAAGGTATCGGTGCTACAACGACGTGAAATTCCAACGGCAGGAAATCAAGCTAATGCAAAAAATTTATGGTAAATAGTGTCAACTACCTTTAATATCCCGATGAAGGACTTGATTGATATGACAGTAATGAAGCCCAGTTAACAACTGCTTCATGTAGCACTGCAACATCACCATCAACGTACAAAGTAAAAAGTAAAACCCTCTGAAATTCAAGGACTTATCCTAGAACCAATCCATCAGACTCTAATAGTCAGATATACAAATTCCTCCTTATTCCCCTTTTCATACGTAACTTTTCGCGCCCAAAATCGATCAGGTGGTCTCTCTGGATAATATCAAGATTCTCCAAAAGCAGAGTGAATGGGCTACCTTGATTTGTGGAACAGTAAATCGCATTCCTGGACGATCCGACAATCCAGTGAGATCATGGTCCATGTATTCAAAGACCATGTATATGCTCCCCTTGAATTTGTTATCGTCCACTGTACAGCACATGGCAAAATGTTCTGGATTATCAGAAACAAGTTCGAACTGTGTTTGGTCCACAAAATATTCAAGATAGCCTACATAATCCTACTTTCTTGTCAACTATGAAAATACGTCTCACGATCAAACAAAGGTCACCCCATCCACAACAGCTGACAAAGCATGGAGGGTTTAGGGTTTAGCAGGGCTGAGTGTTCAACCGCGGACGGTCCATACATCTTTTTAGGACAGGAAGCACATGCCAACTCATTTGCTTGTAAGAAAGCTTGACTTTTACTATTTGACTAGGGCATAACCAAGGTCGGAGGATTCCATTCAAAGAAATATTTCCTTAACACAGCTCACCAGGTTTGGCTCCATCTTCTTTTTCAGGCCCTAAAGACAAACAAAACAAAAATGAAGATCAGAATAACACACAAGCTCACGCTTCCGGGAAGTAATAGACATATAGATCACATGGCTTTTCTCAAACTGCTTGAAACCTTCAAAAGCAGAGCGTCGTCAAAATTGAAGTTACAAACCAAGAAAATCGTTTTCCATCTTGTCTCCCCTCGATGTGACTATCTCCTTGAGCTTGATAACATTGGCGTGCTTGAGTTTCTTCAAAATTTTGATTTCTCGAATAGCCGTAATCGGAAACTGCATGCAGACGTTGATAAGACAAACCAATCAATACACAAAATTGCACGGTTGATAACAAATGATACTTTAAATTTCAGAAATTCCAAGGACAACATGCAGCGCGCCTCAGTCCGTAAATTTTACAATATATTAAAAGAGAACATATCTGAGAAACAAAACTCACCACGCCATACTAAAAATTTAGCTTTTCAAACTGACGAAGGTCTTGTGCCAAAGTTCTTTTGTGATGAGTTAAGACAGCAAGCCAAAATACAACTCCGTGTAACTGACATCTTGATGGTGGGATAAGCACAGGTTTGAAGAAATAGAATGGAAGAGAAAAAGAGAAAGAAGACACCAGATGTCAGCAAGCATGTATTACAGATATCCGTATCAGAAGAAGGCCGTGCAAGAAACTTCAGTCCTGTTAGTACTAATGAGAGGCGCGAAGGCCCCGCTCCACAGCATGGCTCTGGGTATATGGCCGTTGTAATCCACGACTTGATGACCACAGGTAATAATGCGGTCTGGAGAAGGCACATAATCTAGCTTCAGAAGACGTGTTTGACCGATTTATAAGCTGAAAACACTGAACGTGTTAAGACAAAAAACAGTTGTATAAGCATGGAACTCACTCCTTCTTTCTCATTGTCCATACGGACTTTCTTCAGCGCCACTATCTCTCCAGTAGCCTTTTCCTTGGCCATATAGACTTGTCTGCACGTCAGTGGGATATACCAGAAAGAGAATGGTCAGAGATGATCCCCTTTAATTCATGATTACGATGAATTGTACTTTTCGAATGACGACAAGTCGTCTGTGGAACCATAGGGTGCCGGAGGCGCGATGACAACATGTAATATAACATTTATACCAGTAATATATTCCTTCAAGTACAGAGATTTCATTTCCGCACAAGCGCAAATTGTGTGTAGAGGAAAAATATAACAGGCGACAGACAAGTTTCATTCGGCCCTCTTGGCGACAATTCACATGCCGCAGTGTAGATCGGTCCCAAATTTGTGTGCGTCGAGTCTAGACAGGTTGAGTGACGAGGGTCACGTTATTTACGACGCAGTGCACTGAACTACTTGTGGTAAACTTTCTACTCTGTTCCGCAAGTACATTTCAAAGCTTTCCTGCCCTATCCTTGTACAGTAAGGAAAACAACCTGACTATGCTTGGCTCAATGTCGAGGATTGAAAGACTGAAAAGAGAGATTACCCTACCTACCAGCATCAACTATCAAAAATCGGAGAACTGATGGCGCGAGTCCACAAGAACTCAACCCAACACACCATACATACCCGTAAGTGCCCTCTCCAATTTGCTCAATTTTCTCAAAACAGTCGACACTTCTTGACCCCCAATTCGGCGTTTCGTCCAAATTGAGTTGTCCAGGCCCTGCCACCGCCATCTTGAACAGATTTCGAGATCACGAACGGACGTTTCCCCAACCAAGCGATCACAATTGCCTCGAAAGATCCCTAATCCCTCCCTACCGGCTGTCAACAATCCGAAAGAAACTCCACCTCGTGAGACACGGAGAGAACTCGCTCGTCCGAGCCTTGAAGATCCACCAATTCTCCTCGCCGACGCGCACCCGCAACTGTAATGACAGCAATAACATCAGCAAGGGCATCGCCCCAACCCATCTCTATCGATCATGCACGAGAAATTCAAATTCCGCTTTGCGCGAATTCTCGCCCCTCGCTTCTTCCTTTCTTCCTTCCTTCCTTTCTCTCCCTCGAGCGACCCCGCCAGACGAGACGGGCAGTCAAGTCAAGTCAAGTCAAGTCATACGGCATCGATCGACAGAAAACATGCGTCCGGCGCGAGCCGAGCGCAAACTGTCACGAGCTGCAGCGAAATTCGCACAAAATTCTCGTTCAAAAAAACTGAAGAACCCGGGCGCTCGGATTGCCACGCTCTCCGACGGATATTCCCCTGTCTCTTTATTGCTCGTGCTCGTGCTCGCTCTCGTTCTCCTCTCCGCGTGCTCTGCCTCTGCATCGCCCAAGGCCTTGGCCCTGTCCCTGTCCTTGTGTTCTCGACCACGATTAACCCTAAACTCCCGCCCCGGCCTTCCTTCCCGACTTTCTCCCCTTTCTCCTGCAGCGAACGGAGAGTTTTCTGCTATTTTGTCGTGTCCGGCCGAAATTCCTTTTTCTGCATCCTTTCTGCATCAAATGAATCAATTGTTCGTCTTTGAAACTCACCCCTTTTAAATTCACTATGCTTGAGTAAAGAGAGTGACTCTCCCTATTTGAGAAGTCCTTATAAATCTAAAGAATCATTTTGGTGTTATTCTCAAAATTATAGTTAGGTAGTGGAGGATTTTTTTTAAACCGAGTGTCTTAACCACATATTGAAAAGGTCAACTTGTCAATAGATTAAGCAGACTTTTTCTACCATCTCTTATTTGGTATGTGATTTTGCATCTACAATGTTTAGAAATGATGTGCTCTGAAATTTGACGTTTTGGGTTGCATTGGGGGATTCTATGTCGATCATCATTCAATCTTCAATATTGAGTTTGAAAGAACAACGAAGGAAATGGCGAATGCTGTAAACGATGACAAATATGAAATATTCCTCAATAATCACAATATTTATCTTGATATATTGATGACCAGCCACATCTCAATTAAGCAATCTATGTACCATATTTCATGATTGTATGTATGCAGTACAATTATGGGAAAAATTCGTTATCAAATCAAGAGTATACATTTACGTAACTTATAGGTGTATGATACAGACTGACTTACATAATTTTAACAACCTTTATCTTTTAAATGTTTCATTCATGATAAGACAAATTCAAATAGAATACTACTATTTCTTTCAAATTCAAACGTAAACGTTAAAAAATATATCAAAAGATAATAATATTCATATTTTAGTGTAAATCATATCATCTCATTTTATTTGATCACATTGTCTCTTTTACAAAAATATAGAGTAATCATGAAAGAATCTATTTTCGCAATTTTATTCAATGATAACATGTAAAAAAATCATTATCATATCAATTTATTCTTTATTTATCTTGTACAATCATAGTGATATTTCACCATAAAATTTATTTTTATTTTTTTTAATAAGGGAAAAACTTGGACTCAATGTATTAGATTGTTTTAATCAGAATTCTAATAAAATAAAAGTTATATATACAAATAGATTCAGAAGTGAAATTTTTGTTTTGAAATTTTTTATCTCACTCTGCATAATGAAACACAAAAATTGTTGAATTTTTTTCAAAGAAAACATACGAGTTGGTAAAATATTTGTACCTTTTAAATTTCTTTTACAGACAGAATCATACTACTAATATATGTATGTACGAAAATAGAATGATTTTAAAAAAAATCCAAAGAATTTGGAAATATTTATTATTCAACTATTGCAATTATGTTACGGCACATATATTACATAATGCAAAACTAATTTTTTATGTCATTTATATTATTACAAATTTCCTCTTAAAATTAAATTGTATTTTTGACATTTATCTCTATAAAGATCTCAAAATTTATGTATTCGTTTTTTTGTGTTAGTACCTTAAGTATCTAATCATGAATAGTGATGCAATTATCTTTATTTTAGTTCAACATTAAATTCAATAGATTCACTATTCGTTATTTTGAATAATTTTTTGAAGATAATCAATCATCTATTAAATAAAGTAAAAAAGAATTTTAACGCTATATTATAGAATTAATTCTTTTTTAGAACGAGTTACTCATGAAATTTTCAAAAAAACTATTTTTTTTCATTTGGAATGTTTATTATTTATATGGATATATCATTAAGAAGATCATTGCATTCTTTGTTGTTTATAAATATACTACCATCCAATGGGATGAATTTTTATTACAAAATTAAATTTATATGACATTAAAAAAAGACACTATTTCTGCAAATTACGCTTTTCATTAAAATTAGAGTTGAGATCTATAAATAACATTAAATATAGTTCACAAATATTAACTGAATTGTACATAAATCAACATATGGTTTTCTGTCGTATAATATATATATATATACATACATGAAAATGATATGTACTTCAATTATTTGTGATTTGTATCTAACGAAGTAGTTATACTTTACATTTTATATCATTTGCAAATGTTTGACATTTTCTTGCCTGAATTTGAGAATATTATATATATTTTCTTTCATCCACAGATTTATTTCACAATATAATAATTACTCTATTATTGATGAATGAACGATTATGCAATCAAATATATGCATATCTACATATAATGAAATGAATTTTTTTGATTGATCTCAACTATATACTTATTATATGTCAATATTACATACATGTTGATCTCGAGTTTTGTGATAATAAGGGTTTAGGGTTCATGAATCACCTCAATAAACATACAAACTTCATTCAAATTACAATTATTTCGTTCTAATATATAAATTAAGGTTTTCTTCTCTGCAGAATATGATTTGAAACAAATATAAACAGGAGACTAAATTCAACTTCCATACATTCAGTATCAATCATTACACTCTTTAAGATTATCTTTACCATAGAACTTTTATTTCAAATTTTATTTACATTTTAATAACATCAAAAGAGTTAAGATCTTGATAGTCTGCATTGAACTAAGAGTCTCTCATCAAAGTACTGAAAGCTAAACCTCGAGAATAGAATCTTTCAAAGTCCAAAATCAGTATCCATAGCTTCAATTTCTTTGTAAAGACATCTCTTGTTGTTGCCATCAATTTGCTAACTACTTGTGGAACCAAAGCACTACCTCCCTAGCCATGACAGACTGATCTAGCTTTCTTTATACATAAGATTCCAGACAGGAATCAAGATATGACACTCGATAGTCTTGGATTTTACCCTCCAAATTAAGATTCATACTAAAATGGTACATTCCTGGCATGTTTACAATACGAGCTGGACAGCACCTTGGACTTAAATACCTGAGACTAATTCTGCGAAAATGGATCTCCAGCTAACCATGCAGAAAGATTGTACATCTTGCCTACATACACGAGGAGAGCAAAAAAAAAATCCCCGCTCATTGTCCCTGAAAAATAGTTTTCACTTGCAGCCAGAGTAGCATTTCTCTTTCGACCAGAACGATGTAAACCGATGATACAAGCCTTCAGTAAACACTTGATAAAAATATATCCGTCAAGATATAGTATTTTCCGGTCTTCTGAGATTACCCAAAGTAGAGACATACTCGCCTAGTCGAAAATCATTTGTGCTTCAATTATACTATGTTGGCTGCAATGATGCAGTGGAATTTATTAGACAACGTTTTCATAACCCATAGGATAGAAAAAAAAGAACCGTAAAACTACATTACGTGACAACCTGCCAGATATATATTTATGTAGTAAGATCAAGTACAAGTATTCCATGCAAGCTACGGGGAACGAGGACCAAATGAAAGGTGTGCCATTACAGTAAGGTTTAGATACCTGAATGTTATTTACCAAAAATTGTATAGCATAGAGAATGGTCATGCAACCTAATTGAATGCAAGTGAAATAAAAACGAATGCCAATACTTATAAAATGAATAATCAATCGATTTTTTCTCCCCAAATGCGACTGAGAATGAAGGAACAAGACAAGCAGCTTAGTTACTCACTGATCATCTTTGGAAATTCTGTAGTATCGCTCGGCATGTTGTCTCTGCCCAATCAGTTGAGCGAATCTTTCATCGTGTGTTATAACAATCAGCTGAAAATTTTCCTGACCTCTTCTGTCCTCCATAATCCTGTGCAAACCAGCAACGGCAGATGTTTACTGGAAAACTACTTAAAGTCTCACCTGGATGGACTGAAAGCAAGTATGAGCTATAATAATCTCACTAAATCTGCAGGGAAAAGAAGTAGAAGGTAAAAGGGAGTGCAGAGTAATATTCGAGCTTCTAACCTGACGAGTGCTGATGCAAGACTCTCGGCGTTGGGACCATCTAGGTTGGTTGTCGGTTCGTCCAGGGCGAGAACTCCACAATTGAGACAAAAAGTTTCAGATAGAGCTAACCTGATGATTAAAGACGCGAGTACCTGAAGACAAAACAAGTAGATGAGGGTATATACAACTATTGGAGCTGCGCAGAGCCTCCAGCAACCTTTCGCCTCGTTTGTCATCAAAATCTTTACTTGGACAGCTACATTTTCATTGAAACAAAATAGACTTTTATGAACCTGTTGGCCATATTAATAAGCGCTGTTCTCTACATTGTTCCAAAGTATAATAAATGTGACTCATGTGTCAAATCCACTCGCATCATGCAAGTCAGAGTAGAAATGTAAATGTACGGTACATCATGGAATGTTCAGTAAATGCCCTGAGAGCTGTGTAGGGATCCGAGTATATTGCAGCGGAGATGTACCTTTTGGCCTGCACTGCAACGTCCACGCATCTCTAGCTCTGCATCTCCAGTCCGCATCACTACCTGTACAGATGACACTCAGCTCTAGACTGTCGGATGAAGAAAAAGACAAGACACTTAAGAAAGTTGAGCAAAGCAGACTTACTCTGTAGCTGTAGGAACGAGTTCCAGCTCCTTCAGAATCTGATCGGATCTCTATGTAATCGATATCCTGACCACGATATGTCTGTTGCCATAGTTCCTTTATGATCTTGTTGATTTCCTCCATCTTTAGTGAATGAAAGCGCATTACCGCTCTGCATGTTACGCGGTACATCAAACAGAGTTATATTATGTGAGATTCTATTGCTGCGTGTATCGCGCTTTGAATAACAATATATGAACACGCTAAAAAGTTGAGATATCATACGTGTCAACCGCTTTATAGTATTTGTCTAGATCCTTGTTGGCCATCTCCGTTGTCTGCATGCCAAGAATAAAGAAGACAACGTTTAAGCCTGCTCTGCACTCCGGTATAAATTAGTGCTTGTGGGCAACTACTGGATGATAATGGAGTATAAAAGTCACATAGAATTCAGAACTATAGACTCTACTGAAGTGACAAGCAAGCGACTTTTGGTTACAACTGTTATATCAAAGATGCTGAATTTAGATACAGACCTTTAACTGAACGAGCTGAGCACAGTAACGTTTGTCAATGTCTTTGTACTGGACTTGCTTCAGGTCAGCCTTATTTTTGGAAACATTGCTTTCATAAGCAGACACAGTACCCTGACTTCGGCTTTGCTGCACATTTTCATACAGTGACGTAGAAATAATTATGTTTTAATACGAAGAATGTTCTCCATGGAAGAATAAGAGGCCCACGAATAAAAATAAAAGTCAATGCAGTAAATTTATATTTCTTCCTAGCTTGATGCATCCACGACTTTCAAATGAACCGTGACCTTTCTCGCGATTCTCAGCAATGTAATTTTGATGTGATTGATGTACCTGCGACAACAAACTTTGGATAACTCCGGCAGTTTTCCTTAACTCTGTTTCCATTGCAGATGCTTCACCAATAGCGACGATTTGCTCCTCCAAGCCTTCAATCTCCTGTTGGAGCTCTTGCACTTCTTTTGCTGTCTTGCGATATTTCAAGTTGTCATCGATATTCCTCATCACGGAACCATGATCTGCCATGTACTCCTTATTTCTTTTCAGTTCTTCCAATACCTCTGCTTTCTTCTTCTCTTCCTTTTCCTGTTGTGATTTAGAGCTGCCAAGCCTCTCGTTGACTTCCTTGAACTTTGCCTCTTTTCCAGATGCCAAAAATCTAACCAGTTCACAACGAAACAGAAACAGCTTAGGTGCGTGACTAGGAATTGTAAGATATAACAATTTACGAAAGTCCAGCTGATGGCCTACAACTTCGGTCTATATTTTAGTCTTCGAAATTCCTCTTGAAGACGATAACGTCTACCTTTTCTAGCATAAAAGCTCATAAGATACCAATTTTTAAGACAATAAGATATTAGAATCCGATATAGCTATGTTATACTTAGTTTGAACGTAGCGTTTTGGGAAATGACAAACTCACGCAAGAATCTGGGATGATACTGATTGTAGATTGTTGACTTCCTGTTTGAACTTCCTGAGCTCCCAAGAACGTTCTGTATCTTCGGTATCAACTTTCTTTTTGAATGCCTCGTGTTCTTGTGCCAATCTATCCTTTTCTTTTGACAGCGGAGCTAAGGTGTCTTGGAGCATCTGCAAGACCGAAAACAAAAGTTACGACTTTCACATAATCCACGTGTATCATGATTGTACACCTATTTCTAATCAATTCGATCACATTGATTGGAAGTTCACTTGGCAAAAAAAGATAAAGGACTTAGCTACATGCTTCGGAACACATGTCTTTGTTAGACCCCTCAGACTCCTTTCAGCAGTCTAAAGCCGAACACAATCCACGTCAATTTCCAAGTGATAGATATGACCAGTCCACTGACTCAGTAGGATCAACGTGGACTCTACATCGAATAAAGTCAAAATCGATTCACCAGAACTTTGAGGAGATAAACTGAACCTGGATATCAGTCATTGTCTACTGAAAAAGTGAAGCAAAAAGCATCAAGTGAGTGAAATGTAAGCATCACCTCGATATCCATTTCTATGTTTTCCAGTTGTTCGTCCATTTTTCTTCGATCATCTTTCAGCTTGTTTAACGTTTCCACGTTGTGCACTGCCTTCAACTTCTCTTCTCTAGCATTGTGATATCGAAGATTCCACCGTTGGTACTCGTCCTTTGCTCGGCTTTGCTCTTCCCTCAACCGGTCCAATATCTTGTTTGTTTCATCTCTGTGCAACACGACAACAACTTAAGTCAAGCAACAAAAGAGGGGCTGATGACGATCTAATAATCGGAGTCGAAGCAGGATGAAATAACCAGAAGATCGCCTTGACTAACTACTCATACTTTCCCAGTAAATTTTCTACAAAGGTACTGGATATGTGTTTCATATTAAATAGCATAGCATGATGAAGCAAACCTAGAAACCTTACGCAAATGCCTCAAATTTGTCGGTCAACATTAGCAATGTTCAACTGGGAATAGGATTTATTAAAGGGTTTGTCTCAAAAATTACGTCACGTCAGTTGCAAAGACTCAGTTAGCGTACCGTTTTTCTTCTAGCTTTTGTAGGTCTTTGTTGACATCGTCGATGGTACGGAGGGCGTGTGCCCTTGCATCCAGCTTATCCTCTTCAACCCTTACTAGCTGGCGAAGATCAGTAATTTCACTGTGCAGCCGATCGACAGTGTCTACTGTTTCTCGAAGACATTCAACAGCCTCTAACTCCGAGTTGGCTTGCGCTAAAAGTCCTAAGAGCTGATCAGAAAAATGAAAACACTCGATTACTACAAACACCTGACGATGCGCACGTTGTGCAAAAGATACCTCCACTGCGATATCTACTTCGTAAGAAAATACGAGACAGAGCAATATAAATAGATACGCTTGTTCCATTATAAATTAGAGGAAAACCACCTAAATCCTAACTTGAAGCTAGGATGATGTAAGGTTTATAGTAGCGACTGAATGTGCAACCTCAGATTTCTCCCATGTTTCAATACGAGGAAGTAAGAATCACACTTAAAGTTATGTGTATTAAACACTGTACTGTGCTTAAGAATATTTTTGTGGATTTTGAGAGGAATATCATATCGACTAACTCCAAAGCCTAGCGTAAAATTGCTACAAAGTTATTACCTGAGGACAAATAAAGAGCAATTCAAAGCATTTGATTCCCTCTTTGAGACAGCTCCTTCAGCAGCAACATTTATAAGTAAAAGGTCCAGAAATTACATCGTCATGAGGATCAGTAACCCTTTCTTTCTCCTCTGTTAACTCTTCGACGGTCCTTTCGGCCTGCGGGATGACATCTCTGACCAACTTCTGGTATTCATCATAGTACCCACGTAGCTTGTCCAGCTGACTGTACTTGGTCTCGGCAACAGTGACTTGAGACTGAAGCTCTCGTATGCGATCTGATGTGCTCGAGCTCTTAGCCCTTTGCTGAGATGTACACAATACATGCCAAGTGAGACATCATACTGTGTATTTTCAACGTGAACAAGGAGAACCAACCACATGTGTACAATAACATGACAATTTTCACCTTCGAAAACCACTTGTGGACCAGTGAGAGTTACAATGATTTCTCCATCAATACTCTTCATTCATCTTCACGAGTAGGTAACTCCTTCAATTTCATAATATCTTTCTTGGAAAAATCAATCCGTCGGGTTAAAAAAATAGCTGATGCTTCGAATGAAAACACACCTTTTTAACAAAGTCATCCTCCTCTGCTGGTGAGAAGGGGCGTTCGCAACAAGGACAACAATGATTGGATCGAGCTACATTCTCGAATGGCTCAAACATTCTCCGCATTCCATCTGCCAAATCATGATGACTGGACGCAAAGAGATAATATTGTCAAAGCGTATCACATCCTTGACAGAAGGAAGAATCAATAGCATTTAGTAAATTGCTGCTTCCTGAGGCATCAGCGAGAGTAAAAGCTAGGGCCATTACACTAAGTGCTTTCGAGTTGTAGAGCAAGCAATAAGTATAGGCACCATCTCGGAATCCTCCACATTTCCCAGCCAAGCCCTAAACTCAGAAAAAAATGTAATTTACCTCTTCTTTGTGTCCTTCGACTTTTTCGCATCTTCAAGTTGGACTGGAAAAGCATCTACGTCTGCGTCTTGTTGGAGAATGGAGGCAAGTCTAGATACCATCATCCTTTTCTTTCCTGCAATATCAGGAATCGAGTCAAATTTAGCTTCGTGGACAAACCCACAGATTCGCACTAGAGATGTTAAAAGTGTAGGTGCGATTAACAGTGTACCAATTCAATTTTAAAGCATGACAAACAACTGGTGCAGTTGACACTCATGGCTTCTCACCATCTCTATCACGCTGAAGCTTTGAAAGATTGTTCACGGCTTCCTGAAGCATTGACGTCACTTTTACCAACTCCCTTCCAGCTTCCATTGAATTTCTGTTGAGATCAGCTACCACGGCTTTGCTTGAACTGCCCATTATCCAACTACGAGAGTTAATTTCTAGTCTATGCTAGGCCTTGTCACTACAAATGCCACTTATTGCGTTGAAACGTTGGAACTTCACAGACTGAATAAAACACAACAACTTTGTACTGTGCTCCCAGGTGAACGACCCTACCCTCCAGATATATGAATATTGGTCCATTCAGCACTAGCCAAATAAGCTTGAGCCACTCATCAACGTTTAAAGATATCCTTTGTCTACAGGTCTGTTGAGGAAAAGAAGTAGCGAACATATAAACACAAACTTATTCATAACCAGCTCAACAGATCAAACTGTAATCGGGCACTACTTCAGAAGATCTGCTTATAGCTCCTTAACACACTTTGGATTAAGCGACTCAATAAATAAAACATGCACCAGTCAACCTTCACTCATCTCGACAGAGGTAGTGACGGAGAACAAACCTGAGAACTAAATCAATCTCTTGCTTGAGATTCTTTGAGTTGGGAGTTCGCCCCTTCAATACCTTGCTAAATCTTGATTGGTGTTCAGACATTCTGCATACAGGGTCATCCATTATTAGAAATTGTATATTATATAACCCTACAAAATACTGTACTCGGCTTTCAAACATACTGTACAGATTCAAATACATATGGGCCTGAAGCTCCTCTTCAGTCCACTTTCACATCCGAATGTTAAATTTCCACAAATTCTAGGTATGTTATATGACAGCAAACTGAACCTCACAATGACTGAGGACAATCCAAACTGGAAACACAGTTTACACATTTCATAGATGCCACATCAATCGCCACATGAGTTCAGCATGTCATAAGTATGGATCAAAATCCACCAACAGCTATTAGCAGGTTTACTTTCAAAAGTTATCTCTCTAGCAGCTAAAGCAGTCACTGCAACACCATACAATCAAATCAAACAAATTGCCACAAGTGGGGTATGGCCACACATTTGGCTTAGGCTACTCTCTTTGTTGCTCAATTCTTCCTTCTTGCTTCGCAAATAGATTCTGTCCATGGACTCGCTTGCCAGACCATCCTTTTCACGCTGGAAGGACTTCAGTTTTTCATCTAAAGTGGCAAGTTCACTCTTACTGGCAGATATTCTTGCATCAAAATCTCCTGTAGAAAGCAATAGGGAACACTTCTCCATCTCCTTCATCTGAAACAAGATCAGATCGCACGCTTGTATCAGGAATACGAAGGAGTAAATGTGATCTCAAAAACAGAATGGTCTTCAAAATATAGTTGAACCGAATGCAGGATCCTGATGCTCGATAGTATAAACTTTGAGAGGTTATATGATCCATAATACCCTTATGAAAGAGAGAGAAATTTACAAGATAATGGCTGAATACTTTTAAAGAATAGGCACGCCGTACGATAGTCACTAAGTCAGATGAAAATTCAACTAAGTTCTAATAGGTGTATAATGGACAGCAAACTGAACGTGAAGATACAAGCATCTCTAGGAACTCACCGTGGACTTCTCGTTTTCATCCAAGCGTTTCAAATCGTTCTTTGAGATAGAAAGAGCTGATTTCTTTATCAAAGTGTCCAGTCTTTGCATCTCCTCAATCTTTCCAGCCTGTATTTACAAATTTGAAATTCTTAGCAACCTACGTTAATTTCACAGGTAAATTTGACGAAATCTGGCCCTGCTTCTAGCGTTTCAGAGATTCCACTTGGACCAGGTATTTCCAGCTGACCAAACAGCCACTTTCTAAATAATTTGACATAGTAGGACGTGGAGTATGGAAGATCCTACCCTACGAAATACAGTCTATTTTCACCTTGAGATCACGCTTGGCGTTGATCTGGCCTTCTGCTTGACTGTATCTCATAGTAGCTGTTTCAACGGCTGCCCAAAGCTTTCCAAGCTCTACAGTGTTTGCTTCCTGTACCAATGCAATGACATGGTGTTTGAGTTACGTCAAATGAACGGCAGGGTCCCCTTTTCTAACGAGCTTTTGCCGACCCATTTAGACTCTCTTCATCCATTAGAGGAACCTACGTCTTGAAGTTACTGCTTAAATCAGAAGGCTGACTTTTTGCAGACCTACTCATTACAAATTCAACATAGATTTAAAATTAGGTGCTCATCGTATAATCGAAAAATGCCTGACTGGAATACGGTACCTTCTGCTGTTCATGGTCTCTGCTTAGCTCATCTAAACGATTTGTAGCCCTTTCTAGGTGCTTCACGGCTACCTCATTGCTTAAAGGTAGAGCTCCAACACGGCCGAGATTGTGCTTTGTAAAGAGAGCCTGGATACTCTGGTCTCTCTCATTCTTTTGCAGTTGGTGCGCCTGAGCGTAATCCGAAGCACAAAAGAATGAAAAGTTATGTAACAACTTGATCCATAAGTTTGGGAGGTTATTTGATTGGTTAAGTAGGCTCATATATATCCGACTGGAGAAGTATTTATAACCAAAGAAAAACGCTTATCTCACCTCAAGCTCCGCCTGCAGTTTGCCCTTAACTTGACAATCCTTACTGAAGTTGTCCACGATGAATTGTATATTACGGTCAATATCAGTTGACTCTCTTTCCAGCCTTGTGATCTTCAAATTAAGGAGACCAACTTTTTCTTGAAACTGAGCCTGCCAAGTTGCGAGTTCTTCGTCCGTATCTGTATACATGAGTTCACATAGATAGTACACGTTAACGAGAGATATAAAACAAGAGTTGCAAAAGATCTCTTAAACATGCTCGTCTCTTCTAAAGACGACCACTGCCTTTGATAACAGTATCCATCCGGATAAACTATCATCCCAAACTTCACATTTCTTTTGGATTCTATTCGATCAATAACCCAACAGATGGTTTGCTTACCTTCATTTTCCTCCTCGAGATCTTTAAACTGTTGAGCTTTCAGTTTCATCAAGGTCTCTCTTTTCCCTTCTTTGATTTGAATCTGATTTTGCAGACCTCTTATCTGGTCAAGGCAGGACTCTACCATCTCCCTTTTTTTCTGAGATTCCCGTATCTTTCCCTCGTACTCATTTATTTGAGACCTCAGATGAGCTGCCTTTTGATTGTCTTGATCTATGCTATCCCTGAGCTGCAGAGATGAAGACCGCACTACGATATCATCGCAGGTTCTTGACTTCCAGCAAAACCGACATAGTGTGACATATTTCTAGTGGAAGCTTGCGCTTAATACATGAACTTGTCATCTGAACATGCATTTAGGTTTTCCAAGACGATTTTGAATAAAGAATTATCAAAATTTAAACGAATGAAAAAAAAATTCAAACATACCTTATAAGCTGCATCTTTCAAAGTCTGAAGGTTTTCCAATTTCAGCTTATACATTTTGATCTCCTGATTTTGTTCTTTATAAAGTTTTTTTATTACTTCAAGTGCTTTCGTGTACCTTCGGACCAAATCATTTAGTTAATACAGAAGTCAAACGTTCGAAGTATTAATCGATCTGCTGCTACTGTGATTGACTAATGCAAGCATTCTAGAGTTGCGAAACAACTGACCGGGGATCATTAGAAAACCTATACCAACAGCTAGCTCAGAAGGAAGAGACGCTACAACTGGGTGTGCACCACGTTCACAATGAAGTAATTCGATAAGATAAGATGACCTAGGACCTGAGCCATGTTAAGAAGACACTTAACTTGCGCTCAGAGGAACACTTACTAAATTTTCTTGATCTTGAACCTCAAGAGGGTCAAGACGCATTCACACGTTTCAATGTATGCGAAAGACATGCAAGTTAGACATAGGGATCAAGAAACGAATGAGACTAGACATTAGAAAAATGGCTGAATTCACCTCGTCGCAGAGAAAATATCATCGAACTTCTTCTTCAGAACAGAGGCTTCAGCTAGCGGCCAATTTGCATCATCTTGATGCACAAAAATAACGTTTTCAAGAACTGCTTTGGAAACACCCATCAGAGCTGGAACTTCTCTGTCCATATCCGCACACCTGTAACTGAGGCTCACCTTCTGCAGTTCCGTTCCAGAAAATCTTGCTCAAATTCTTTGCATTTGAGATCTAGCTAGTCTAAGGATTCCTATATATCTAAGAAACGTAATGTAAACATTTCAAACAGAATAAAACCTAGCTGAAAAAACCAAATAAATACTCTGCATATGTGCGTCCAAGGAGATCAGCACCTCGCCAGTGTTGGAATCGATAGTCTGCAGAACGCTTTCTATTGCTTTGAATTCCATCTTCGCTCCTTTCTGAGTAAGTTGAAATGAACGAATGCAGACAACATCTTTTTGGGCTGCAGTTTTGAATCTAAGCTTTATTTGACCTTTCGTCTCCGTCTCGCCTGCGACCTGTCCATGAAATCGTGTGACAGACAAGACTCTAAGCGAATATCAACATAAAGCAAAGCCGCAGAATCATGGTTTTCAGAAGTACACGGCTGCTCACCTTCGGATCGTGTATGAAGCTATGGCCTGATCGGGAATTTGGAGGCATCTCCCCAGTGCATGCATGCTTGAGGCACTCAATGATTGTCTGAAAAGCATCATCATTCACACTCAATTCACTGTTGATCCACATACGCATTGCAAGACTGGAAATTTTTCCTTTGAAGAAAAATGCGAAGTAAAAAGACTTCAATAGCTTCTTAGCTAGCTTAATTGTCAAACATGGCTGCATTTTCCTGAGAGGGCCGAGAATTTCTCCTATTTTCAAGATAAACGTATACTGCCGCTGTATTGCCCAATTCGCAGTCCTGTGACTCAGGAACCAACTGTAGTATAGTTGTTTTCTATCCGAAAATCAACTTTGCAATGTGAACACGAATATGTGTCAATATTTCAATTTTCCCGCCAAAAATGCAGTCCGTAGCATAAACTAGGAAGAAACTGCACATATCTCTCAAACTCTCCCCGTTAGAAAGGAGAGCCGTTGGAGTAAACTTGAGGAACATAGAGCCTTGTTCCACATTTTTTCTGGGTCTTAGCAACTCGATTTCACTCTTTCCATTTATCCTACGACAGAATTGTGTCTCGAATTTTCTATTCAACTCGAATTCTTCCCCTGTTAGCTGATTTTATCGATGAAAATACTCGGTTAGAGTTAACGAGAGAACATAGGACTTTGATTGGACATTGCAACTCTTACAGTTTTCCCGGCTCCATTTGGTCCCACGATCAAAGTCAGAGGTCTGTAGAAGGTGATGACATGAGTATTCTCAGGGCTGAAGCTCCGAATGCCCTTGATGAGCAACTTATCCACGACACTCATCTTTACAGGTTGATAAGCTCACTGAAGAGTCTTAAATAGAATAATTGACTCCAACAATCGCCTCCGTGATGTGAAATTTGGTGAATTCTCCAACTCCGGGCTTCGCAATTGACGTCGGCACCTGATTGTCTCTTATTATTGCCTGCACTACCATGGAGATGCTCTCAAAGAAATGTCTATCCTAAAGCCCTAAACCTCCGTAAACTTCAAATTTCTAGACCCAAAGGCCAGCTGACTTCCCTACGCAAAAGCTTCCTCGATTTCAGATTCCTCATCTAGACCAACATACATCTGGAGTCTGGATAATGCCAGACAAAACCAGAACCGATCCACGAATGATGTCACCCAGTCATCCTGTAGGGCAAGTAAGGCGACATCTGCATATCAATTCGGTACGATTCAAAGTTTCGCATGGAGGTAATCGACTCGCCCATACCAAGGCTCAAGCTTTGTGCTCTCAGAATGTAATGGCCCTCTACCAACAAGAAGCGCAAATCAACGAATTTACTCGAAAGAAAGGCATGAACTGGTTTTGGCTCGACATGTGTGACACATTCTCCGAAGCCTGAGGAAAAATTGAATTTCTTACTGCTGCCCAGTGTTCTAAAATCTGTCAGATTTCACTACGAGAAGCGCGCTAGCTGAGGTGCCGGACGAATACCCTGAGCAACTGATTCCGCCGTCGCTGTTGCCACCCAGTTTCCGATTTCGGGCCCGCGTCACAACTCCATGAGTACAGTGCCAGAATCGCATTTTTTAATGTGCATTTGTTAATTCACCCACTATATTTTTTTATTGTTCATATATCTTACTAAATTGGAACGATACAGAGAATACAAATATATCCTCAACGGCAATTGCCCATATATTTGAGCCGAATTGACAAGTACCCATCACATGTTTCGTTGGCAGCGGAAAAATCCAACGTTTTGTTTCCATAGGCTTTCAAACGTCTGTTTAATAGTAACCAAGTGGAGTTAGTGACTACTTTTCAGTTTTATGTGTAGATCTTTTACCAGAATAGAATCATTTATAAGGTGTTTGTTAGTTAAGGTGTCTCACGTTTGTGGATGCAATTACCTAAGTCTATGGGTAAAATAAACTTTCGATAGAGGTAAAATTTCTTTTTGGTCTGAAACTCCCTATATTACAACTTTAGATAGTCAACTGATAATCAATCTAAAAATTTTTATTTCCATCTTTAATTTTTTTTTGTTTTAACTAGATATTGTTCAATTATTTTCCCCGAAATTTTATAGTATAGCATTTGAATATTTAAATTTTAGAATGACACCAGCATCTCCAATAGATGAGAAAGAGATAAAAGTGACACTGTTGAGTTGAAGTTAATATAAACGAGGAGAGTGAATTGTATGAATAGTGATGATCTAAAGATGATTTGAGGAGTATGACAGTCAGAGAAGTCAATTCGATCATTTAATATTATGGATGACAAGTAGTCAAAACAATGAGGCGTTATATGATGTGAACTTCTTATAATAATTCCACCAAAGAGCATGCCATATCATGGGTTATATGAGTATTTGGGGTTGCAGAAACTAACTACCATTTAGGCGAGGATTAATGTAACGTGATGATCATGTGAAAATCATGTAGGTTGTGTTGTGGTTTGAATGTGCATAATATCAATATTTATTTTCAATTTTCAATGCTGACATGGTTGATTTGAGTCCCAAGTGTTCCGCTAATTTTTTTACTTATCTCAAGATGAATACCACTAGTATGATCATTAGAAGAAGCAATCAGATACATACTTATTGTCTTGACAAGGTGCAAGGCTACCAGTGGTAATGCATTGGACGAAGACCTCTTCATAACTCCGTTACGTGAGGTGTTTCCATTTTCCCACTCCCACACATTCTCCTTAACTTACATCAATTGATAATTGTGGAAGATCCCTTTCCACCCTATCTTCAAACAGATCAATATTGACCTGAATCCTAGCCTCACATGAATGATGTTTAGGACCTAAGGACAAGGTATTTAATATCGCAAAACAGTGTTTCAGAATTTGTAACTCGTTGGTCGCCTCATCATATCGTTCTCGAGCTGTAATGCCTGATTTAGCTGCAGTACCTCGCATCAGTCTTCTAAAGCTGATGCGAATTTGTGCACTTGTCTCAAGTTCACTGTGGGAAGAGAAGGGAACCTACAGGCCAACTCTCCTTTTCGCGGACCTTCTCTCAAAGGACCGTCATCTAGATACGACACTATGATGAGATTGATCCAACTGTACAAACTCTTAACCATAAGGTCTGTTTTTTAGGTGATGTGACCACCATATGTATGACACACCCACCATTGATAAAAATATGTACTTTTGAATTTGATAAATTTGGTATGATTTAACAGTCTCATGGTAACCGAATGATGGAGGCGCACGAAAACCAAAACTTACAAGGGGCGTAGTGCAAATCCTAAAAATGTATTGAAGCAGCAGGGTTTATCATTTCACATACAGAAAAGCAAATCATCACATGCAATCTCCGCTTCACGAAACACAAGTGAGACAGGACACAAGTTGAGACAAAAGCATGCCATATTCTGCATTCAAGTAGGTCGAAGCACGAGGTAATCTCAAAATTTTCTCAAAATTCACACAACCCCTCATTGCAGCTCTGTGCAGTATGGACTGATTGGCAAAAATAACACACATGGAATCGTTCAAAACTGAATAAATTAATAGTACAGTAACTTTTTCCAAAATCTCCTTCAACTTCCCAGGTTTCGTATTCAATGATCGTGGGAAGAATACTAAAGCTTTCAGTACATGGGGGTCTTCTCTACTTCTTCCAACACTGTAATCTTGTTTGGTTTGGCCAGAAGATCGGTAAATTCCTGGAATGGTGACTTTGAGAACCGAGTCTCTCTCCACAAATCGGGTGTCAAAAATCCGTAGGTCTTCAACAAGCACTCAAAGGTTGCCTGTAGCAATACAAGACAGCAAATTACAGCGAGATCACGGTGCAAGACAACAATATTAGAGATTATCCCACGACTACAAGTTACCTACAAGAAAAGGAAAATCTATCTACGGCAAAACTATCTTTAAATGAGGGGCAAGGTTAAAGACAAAGGACCAATAATCAGATTGGTGACATGAAAGGTATGAATCAAAGGGAAACTTGGCTCGAAAAAAAATACAGCGAACTACAGTGGTGAGCAATCAAAACTCGGCATTCCAGCGAGTCGGATTCATCCAACCCTATATTTTTAGAAACATCTTCTTCACTACAGTTGGTACATTACTCGAAGCTGCTCCTATTCATGACTGATGCCATAAGCCCTCTGTCGGTCTTATTCAACCAAAAAGGACGCCCGTTGGCCACATCGATGTATTCATTATCAGAATATCGACACCGAACTTGTGACTTTTGAGAAGAATTATGATAATAACGGGACTTTTGTAGCTAATTCAAAGTGACAATGAGCCCTCCAGAGGAAATCGGAGAGGACTGACGATTTAATTGCGAAAATTCGTTGGCAGACATGTGAGTATTTCTCATACATCCATTAGGTTTTGCAACTGACAGCCCAGGGCCTGGTGCGACATACCTTCACGAAGTTTCCAAGAGTCTTTGTAGAACCTCGAGATGAGGTGAACACATCGTCGATACCGGCAAACTGCAGAACCTTCTTCGGCACACGCGCAGCAACAATTCCGGAACCTCTGGGTGCAGGGACCAAACGCACTGTCACGGAGCCACACTTTCCAGTTACCTTGCAAGGCACGGTGTGGGGCTTTCCAATCTTGTTACCCCAGTAACCTCGGCGGACTGGGATCACAGAAAGCTTCGCCAAAATGATGGCACCTCGGATGGCAGTGGCGACCTCCTTGCTACATTTCACACCCAACCCGACATGTCCATTGCTGTCTCCTACCACAACGAAAGCTTTGAACCTCGTCCTCTGTCCCGCACGCGTCTGCTTTTGCACGGGCATGATCTTCATCACCTCATCCTTGAGAGCGGGCCCCAAGAAAAACTCGACAATCTGGTGTTCCTTGATGGGTAGAGAGAACAGGTAGATTTGCTCCAAGGATTTTATCTTACCGTCCTTCACGAGCCTTCCAAGCTTGGTGACAGGCACCCATTTCTCCTCCTCTTCTCTCTTTGGGCCTCTTCGACCTCTCCCTCTGTCACCTCGACCTCTGTCGCCCCTACCTCCTCTGTCACCTCTGTCCCCACGTCCGAAACCCCGACCGAAACCTCCTCTCTCGCCGCCTCGTTCCGCCATGGAGGACAATTCGACCTCCTTCAAGGGGCACTTCAATTTCGACCGAGAAATCAAAATTTCTCGGTGAATGCAACCGAATCGCTCGAAATTTCGCCGCTGCACGCGAGGGCCAAAGGAACCCTAGAGCTGTTCTTGGCCTCTTTAAAACTCCAGTGCGGCGTTCCTATTCCGAACAATATCTGCGCGTTAAGAACCTCCGGATCCCCCGGCCCCCACGAATGTTCTTGTACGCTCCAGTCTTAGGGTTGTGCGAGTGAACTGAGCGCGAGCTTACCATGTCGTGATCCAGTCTGCGCGGTGGAATTAGGCGCGGACGAACGGCGCTAACTACAGAGCACGCGTCGAGCTCTCGAGTCGTCAAGCCACGTCGTGGACCCCTTCGGGTATCGACGTCGGCCCTTGTCGTCTTCGTCCACGACGTAGACGCCGATCACATCGAAGAGTGTCCTTTTCGGCGCAGCAGCTCTTTGACCCGAACCCCGGAAGAATCTCCTGTCGAATCCGAAGTACCTTCTCGCTCGGATGTCCACTGGATTCTTGCCTGGACAAAAGTCGTGTCCATGATCACGTCGGACTGGTCCCGGTGGACAGACGTATTGACCGGAACGATGGAGACGTTCTTCTGGAGTTGCTCGTAAGAAGAACCGAACGACGAGCTCTGGTGAGTATCATGAGACCTGAGCGTAAGCGGGGAACGAGATGAAGGCCCATGGCAATGAGTACTGCTAACAATTCATGCTCAGCAAGGATTATAATTTGACGACTGTCTGGAGGGAAATTCATATCACATGTGATGGAGTGCCTTCTATTTCTACATTTGCGTTAATTTCCGGTACCCTCGTGGGTTTTCTTGACCTGCTCTTTCCTTCTGATTATGTGAATGTCAGGTTTGTGAAGGCACTAGGAAGATTTGGCTCCATTTACCCACATCTGAAGGTACGAGAAAAGTACCCCATAGAGGCACAGTGGACAAGATGCACCCCATCACTGAAAAAACACGTACCCACGAATCAACTTTTATTCACTCCTTCGACCAAGTCTAACTCGAATCTTTTCGACTGACACGCAGTGTCCATTTATCGTCCTTTGTTGCTCCACCCGTCCACTACACCCGGAGCGCCGATCAGCAGGAACAGTTGACAGAGGTGGATACCGGGAGGCGAGTGACCGGCGACGGGCCGGCTGGCACGAACGCGGACGGATTCTACTTAGATTCGGGAAGATATGATTCCATTGTGAAGATGCAGGCGGCAGGAATTCGGAGCTTCGGATCGAGGAGCTGAATGGCACATGTGTCCAGACGCCAGACGCCGTAGAAATTCGAGGCTACGTGGGGAGACAGCGAATGAATCGCGTGGCGAATCGGGGGCTCTCAGGTGAATCTATCGAGAATTCGAATTCCTCGCTTTCGCAGGCCGAGTCGGCGGAAGGCCGGAGAGGCCGATCCGGGACGCGTCGGCCGAAGACGAAGAAAGCGCACGGACTCACATGAATGCTCGTCGTCGTTGTGTCGAAGGATGGGCGGAGCATTTCGGGTCGGTGGGCGCCGAAGCCAAGCGCGTCGGAAGTCGTCGTTGAGTTAGGTTCTTGGAAAGGGACATCAGGGCCCCGTCAAGCCCGGAGCCAAGGGAAAGTAAGCGATGATCGAAGACGAGGGACGTGAATTGCGCATGGCGACCATACGGAGCAGGTTGGCGTGGAATGGGGTAGAGTAGAGCGCTCGTTTCTGCTCAGCAGTCACCGGGATCTGTGGTGGATCAGAAGTCACTGGTGCGGGCAGCGAGTGAACGGCATATATTCATGCTAGGATTACCACGTGAGCGGATACGTACATGCAGAGTCAGTGAGTCCGCTGGCCGCCTGTTTGGCGAGTAATCGGTTCGAAGGATGGCGTACATGACCTTCTCGGACGTACGGGAGGCAGATAATTGGCATTACAGAGGTGAAGGTGCGGCGAATTTGGTCCTCGCATATCATGGTTGTGATCCAGCTCTGGTAATTCTACCTCTCGTGCCCTCTCTGTCCGTGTTCTCCTCGGCTTCATTTTCGCCGATTCACCATCAACTCGCGTCTACTGGTTGCTTTTGGAGGAGCTTGCTTATCAGCCGCTCTGCAAGGTTGTAACTGCGATGTTGGAGGTCACTATCCTACATGGTGGTGGGAGCAGTCGTCGTATCAACCTTGGCTTGTGTCGTCTTTGTCTAGGACCAACTTCGACCAAATTCGAAATTCCTTTCTTGTTTGGATATTATCTGGATTCCTTTATGTTGAATCTCCGTTCACCGTCCCAGAGCTCAATCGACCCTTGGAAATGCCGAAATCGTTCAGTGCCTGTAGTCCTGTTTCTTGCGGAATTATCTTATCTTGGAGTTAACGAGTCCGTCAAGGGATCGCCGCCTACCTGGTCGAGAACTTGTCAGACAACTTGCAACCTGATGTTCTCAGAGGTGGAGTTTTTCAGATCGGGAAAGTTCTCCGGTTGCGAAAATTGGTCGGGAACGCGGAAAAGATAAGTCATGGAGCCAAGGAGACGCCCGTTCTTCTACCCGAAGAGCAAGTTTTGTGGGCCGAATGGCCGCGCATGGCAGCTGCCACCTCCACTGCGGAGCTGAATCATGCATATATTGCGGATGTTCTGCGTCCGTTGTTGGGTGACAAGCATGTAGATCCCGGGGTAAGAGGTTTTCTTGTTGAGTCCGAATGAGCAATAGCAGTCACAATGATGAAAAATCGTGGCTCTTTGTTTCTGACTGTAACAAACTGTTGTTGTGAATTTGAAGAGTCTCGTCGATGTGTCGAGGTCGTTTGTTGAAGCACTGAACCGGAATATAGCTCACAGACGCCCCGCGTGGCGAGCCGAAACCGGCTCATTAATGGCGTCGAGCGGCATTGGCCTTCTAATTTCGGATCATTCCAGCTTCTCGATTCCAAGAGGTGGGGTTCGATTCCTATAGTGACGTTTATGACTATTGATCATGTTACCATCGATGGACATCTGGAATTTGTGAGGGTTCGTTTAGAGAAGGACAAGATTGTGTTTGTCAATCAGTATGATAATGATATGTCTGCTCCTGGTCCTTTGACAGATATCCTGAAGGAGTTGCCACCTACAATCACAGTCGAAATCAAAGTACTGGGTGGCTCCACTCCCTCCGTTCTTCCCTTGTTCTACATTAGGTCTGAAGGATTTTTCATGTTGGTCATCCTCGTAGTGGTTCTTATCTAGTTTCATCAGAATTCTCTTCTAGCCCATCTTATTTATTTCTCGCGTGTCAAAATAGACTCTCCTCATTGCAAAGTAGACCCTGGATTGCGGAAGATATCAGGTATGAAGATACTCTATAGTTGTATATACTGTTTCTGGCATGTCCAGTATCTGACAGCATAATTTGGGTTGCTGATTTTTTGTGGGAATTTAGCCGAAGTGTGGATTTCTGCCGGTGTCTCCCATGATCAAAGAAGAAAACCTCATCAAGACGACTGTGTGCCGTTTTACCATGCACCAGACCCTCAAGTTGTTGCAGGGCAAGGTATGAAGTACCTTTCTCCGTGTAACACATAGACTTTCTGAAATATCATTCTGTCAAGGCTTGACAGGAATGCCTGTCCGCCGCAACTTTTGTTGTTTGAAGTTCTTCTTGCCGGTATAGTCGAAGTCTATCATGACTGATACCCAAGTGGTTTTTCAACGTCCAGATCAAACATATCAGCAAGTATTCGCCACTGGATCTATTCTCAGGAAGCGAGAGTGGTATTTATGAAGCAATTTGTGATCTTTTTATGACGCCTCAGAATAACTTACGCATATTTAGTAATGGGACGGAAGTGTTCGGTGATTTCGATGAATTATCCACTAGCCGGGAGGATGCCAAAGTAAAGTTAGAGAATGTCGTAAAGAATTCTTTTCCCTCAGGGGCTGAAGAACCCGTAGTAGCCTTTCAGAAACTTATATCTCATTTGCTCTTTCGAAGCAAAATCTTAAAAAAACTGCTGGACGTACAGAAACTTGACTCTATTGACATCGAAGGTTCAATCCAAGCCTATGAGAAGTTTTTGAAACATCTGAAAAGCTCAGCTCCTTTCGGAACTCAGGTAAGTCTACTTAATGGATCAGTCACTGATCCAACAGGGTCACCACCTCAGCAAACTAAACCTCTGAATGGGACTCGACATGTGAATGAGTTGAGGAAGTTCACAAAAGTGCCTCACACTTTCGAGGAATGTCGCACAATACTTCGCGACTTCCTTATATCAGCCACGGCCAAAGACTGTGGTATTATGGTCACTTTGCTCCCGGTTGGCCCAATGATGACACACGATATATCTCTTCCTGGGTCAAACGTAGTAACATTTTCCGGCAGACAATACTTATACAAGGTATGTCAAGAAAAGACCAATGTTCTTGAATGCTATGTTAATTACATTCTTGATGGATTAACTTGCTTAATCATGGCCCGGAGCGCAGGCAGAAATTGAAATTCGACATCGCAAGTCCTAACCATTTATCGTGACTCCAATGACAGGTTCATCTTTTGGATTTGGACGTCAAGCAGCTGAAGAAGCTGCCTCATTACTTTCAGCTTGACAAAGAAATAGTAACGGCCTACAGGTCTTGCAGCTTCATTGACTCCAGTTTTTTCTCCCCTCTACCTGGTTGCGTTGCAAGCCTTGAGAACTCGTAGATTTACTCGACGGGTCAAAGTCCAAACTTCGAAATCTGGTGTAGGATTAATCACTCCGTTAGTCTCGGTAAGAGAAGAGACGGATTCTTCTCCAAGTGGTTGCATAAAGATCTGGCTCAGCGGATGTAACTGCCGTTCCCCGTATGGTCATCGGCTGATTTGAATATTCAAGTGCGGATCATCTTCTAGCGCTTCTTGAACGCTTGAGGTGTTTACCATGTCGTTTGGAGGGACACATTTTTCCCACAAGGCGGCTTTATCAAATGATTGCTTATGGCGAAGGCACCAACTTCATCCGAAGTAAAGCAAGAACCCTTGTATCGCTGAATATGAGATTGTGGTTGCTCCAGTGACTGTAGATTTGCTTGATGGCGGACTGTCAGCTCGTGCTCTACATCCATGTTATGTCATCCTTTTCGTTTTTCACCTTGATCTGAAGTTTATTTCTGTCTCCGGATTCGTGTGTGTGTGTATGGTTGAACAAGCATTCTCATAGCATGTGGCTGCTCCTTCACCATATCATATTTGTCATGAGCTTTCTTTGTCCTCCCAATTACTGTATCTCAAGTAGTCAGCTCAGTGTGGGTCAAACGATTGACCCGCACAAAGCCTGAAGTGACCACCTGTCAAGTTGATCCCAACTGAAAACATATTGGTGACGTAGGAAGAGACTATTACGCGACCATGCTTAGGATATATCCCTAGACGACTTAAGACTACGCATTGGGCCCTCGATGTGCTGTTTGGGATGAAACGCACGCGCATGTCATGGCATGGCCGTGTTATGACTCCGCAAGTTAAAAACAATTAGTAAGCCTCATTGGCAACACGACCACTTGATACCAACAAGAGGGACTGGGTGGTATAGACTTGACCCATCCAGAATATATATAAGTGTCGGTTGAATTACATTCCGCAAATGCTTCAAATAGGTTGGTGGCACGCCTCGAGGGACGCATCGTAGACTGCCTGTCTTCTCGAAGATCCTGATTTCGAGAAGACAGGCAGTCTACTCGAAATCAGAGTTTGCATGGTGCCGTATTGCCATAACAGCGTGAGCGACGAAACCGACTACCTATTCGCAGTCTAGATGCTTTATGTCAGTGAGAGTCGTACTACGGTTTGCACATCGAGACAGCAGGTTTCCAGATACGAGAGATCGATGTAAAAGGCACTACTGTACATGTATCTATTTCTCGGGATTGCGGATTGGACAGAAGACGATAGGCACAGCCCTTGGTAAATTGGCACCATTTATCTCATTCATTCCTCATTTCTAGGTAGAGTCTACGCCAAGAATATGAACAATGATAATGATGTAACTGTTCAAACGTTATTAAAAATGACATCCATGAATGACTTGATTTGAAAAAAATCAAAGCAATGAATGAAGCCAAGATTACTTTGATCTAAAGTTTCTACTGGAAAATCATTATGTACTCTTTGGTATAAGGTTTTTCCTCATTCAAAATAGAAGATTTTAGTTATGACAATCTATTTAATCTATGAGTTGTTTGATAATTCATGAAATAAAAGAGTAGTGATTTACTAAAAAATCACTAAAAGAATATTTATGATCTTTGCACATCATCTGCAAGACAAGAACAAGAACTTATGATAAAGAAAAAATGAAGTATACTAGTAGTATAGTTGTACTTTCGTGGTATATATGTCGTCTGCACAATTGAATAGGATACCTCATCTTCAATTGAGAAACAGATTCGGACATGGATGTGACACTATTGAAGCTATTTTGCGTTACAATAATTCTCTTTTAAATTTGCAAAACTAAATCTGCTGATTAGATTTCAAACACTTGATAACAACAAAATGATGGAAGATAAATGAAATCATGTTAATAAGAGCAAAGTTGGACAAACTGCACTGACGTTTGAAAAAAATTTAGTAGATTTCAAAACATTTTATTTAAAATTTTCTCCTGTTGAACTTTGTCAAAGAAGGAAAAATGTGCATGTCCAAAGTAGTATTTTGTCTAGGCTACAACTAGGTCAAATGCAAAGATCACAAAGTAAGAAATATGATGACAATACGCATAAATCTTGCCTATCACATTGAGATTATTACAATTTATTATGAAGAAATTAGAAATATCTTTGAATTTTAAATTTTAAATGAAACTCTGATAAAATAATTTGTACAAATAATTAAGCCATACATTTCATGAATTAAAATGTAGAACAGAAGTAGCAAAAATTTGCCAATTGAAAAAGATCTGAAATTTTGTAGCTGTAAAAGCAAGCATCATAATATGTTGAATATAAAGCAAAGATAATATATAAAGAACATATTGATTTTAGAACAATCACCACATAAATTGTGAAATTAGAAAAGAAACAGCTTTGATTCTAGCGGATCATTATCATGAAAAAAAATTGGAATAAAAATTGTTCATAAGCAAAACATTTGAACAAAAATGTTCTTGTTTAATGTAACCATGCCAAATTATAGATATTGAAGATAATTGAAAACATAATATAAACTAGATCGAGCTAAAGGAGGGAAAGAAATCAGTGTTTGTACTTATAAAAAAATATGATTAGACATAGTTTTATAAAAGTATTTATTTGAAATTTATAACAATCTAAAATTTTTTATTTAAGTCATAACTTAATTAATTTTTCAAGTCTCTGTTATATGATAAAAGTAGCAAGCATATTATTGTCATGGAAAATTGTAATTGTGAAACATAATATTGACTAAAAAAACTGAGGTTGTGGAAAATTCAAGTTTCCTAATGACATGTAGTTACTTCGATATCAAAACAAGAAAATTTCTATGCACCAAGTGGAATGAACAGAGACCAATATAAAACAGTTTTCTTGATTTATAAAACAAGAATTTGGTGTCGGATTCTTGTTTTATAAACAAGAATCCGACAAATGGATTAACCATGTACAATCCGTACATCCGGACTGTACGTTATGAGTCCATTCGGTGCTTGACAAGCAGAGGATCCAAGAACTAGATAAACCAGAGACATATTTATATGTAATAAGATGTATAGATAATAATGATACATACTATGCTCAATCTTCATGAAAATAAAGTAAATAATAATCATTCAATAAACTTAGAATAATTTAAAAATTAGTGAAGAATTTCTAAAGCAAATTTGACAATTTGTACATAAAATTTTATTTCATCATTGAATATTTTATATTGAATGATAAGGTAAACTTATCCGGAGGAGTGTATTTAGCTTTGAAAGTTCAAAATAACAATATTAACATTCTCGATTTATCATAATATCGTTAGTCTAACTTGAAATAAACTTAAGTAATAATCATTCCGGAGATAACCATATCAAATTGTTTGAGGGATGAAAACACTTGAAAGTATTTATTTGCTTAAAAAACAAAACATCAATTTGAATATAACAAGAATATAGAAATTGAAAAAAATGATACATATAAAACCCTGATTTTTTGTAAATGTATAAATAGGTAACCGATGTAATATGATAATGTAATTTTGCAACCGTTTGAGTGTAGAAATGTAATTGGATTAGATTAGAAATTAGGGAAGCTTTGTCAATTATGGCTTTCAACCAGAATTTTCATACACCGTGAAATTCTCTCAAAAGACAAGGATGAGTACACGGAATTTTACTAATGGAAGTGAATCTTGAGAGAATCTTGTCATTCATGAATGATTGTTGCAAATTATGATCATCCTCATAAAGGAAAATGATGCTAGCACTTGGAAATTCATAAGAGTTACAAGTGTGATATATAACTCTGAAATGTTTCTTCCGCTCTCATTCATTAAGAGCAGGATAACTTAGCATATATGATAAAACGATATGAAAATTCAATAACATTCCTCCGTTTTCTAAATGACTTGCCGTATGAAAAACAATGACTGCTTGTATTTCAAATGAACAAAAATAGGATAAACTTTTAAATAATGGCATCAGTTTATTGCATTTCGTCCAGAATTCTTGCAAAAGGGGGACAGAAAATCCTCCAACACGTCTTCTTACATCATGAGAGGAGGATTAAAATAAGAAATCACTTGCACAACTATGGCCCTGCCCAGTGGCTGAAAGTCTCCATACACAATTCCAGCATGAGCCTGGAGTGATGCACCGCTGAGTGCGATCGAGAATTCTCTGCTTTCCGTTCCGCCGAGTAATCCTGAGAAGGAAACAATGTTGTAGGCACCGAGCAGAGCTCGTGCGTTCTTCTGCGGGTCTTCAAGAGTAATGCGGGCGATCATGCCATGAGCCCCAACTACGGCAAGACCTCCTCCACACCTTAAAAATGTGCTTGCCTGTTTAGCAAGAGACTGTATCACGAAGTGACCAGGCTGGATTACCAGCAGCTGAAAGTTCACGCTTCCACAACTGTGGCTTGGATGATATTTGCATCCAGGTGGTGGGCGCTCTGCAATGCTCTTCGAACCCTTTGGGCGGCCACGTCGTTTACCACTGACATTGTTTGGAGTGTGGAGAGGAGAGTCACGTTTGACATCTGGAGTTTCTATCTCTCTACATTGCATGCACTCCTTTGGAACATGAGAGCTTGATTGATCCGTAGGGTGGACTTGTCTCATGTCCGGAGCAGTAGACGTATTGTTGACGTGGTGTTGGCACCCATTCTGCATAGTGCTAGGAGTGGTCTAAAGTTCTCCGGATGGTAGAAGAAGAAGAAGGGAATTTTAAGTACGAAAAAGTATAGCAGATTTTGAGGGTCAAGAAAACCTAATACTGACAGTCTGTAACGAAGACAAATAGAGATGTTTGAAATAGTAGAAGATGACAGCTATGATCGAAAGAGAAAATGCTTGTGCCGATATGTTGTAGAGCTCTAAGATGACTAAGAACAACATATTACATGCTTTACCAAGCCATTTATACAGGTATGTTTTGGAAGTATGTAAAGTTGTTGCGAAGACTTGCTGATGAACCTAGTCTATACATGTCTATGTCAAAGTAGTTGAATCATACTAGAGTTCTGTTATCTAAGGTTGATCAGTGTAGCGAGCTGACTATACAAGCTTGTACACACCGTTTTCGAATCTACAGGAGAATTTACATAAGAACTCTTCATGATGTCATCCATGCGATTCAATTACTCATAGAGGTCTAAATCAGAGGAGTCGAATCATACTAGACTTCTGTTCTCAAACAATGATGAGTGGAACTATCAGAATGTACATTTACAAAACATATTCAAGTCTAATAGGAAATTCACATTAAAACTCTTCGTGATGTCCTCCGTACTTTTCATTTGCTCAAGGAGGTCTAAATCAGAGTAGTTGAATCATACTAGAGTTCTGTTCTCAAAGGATGATGAGTGGAAATATCAGAATGAACTTCTACAAAACATATTCAAGTCTAATGGGAATCCACATTAGAACTCTCCCTGATGTCCTCCGAACTATTCATTTGCTGAAGGAGGTCAAAATAGAGTAATTTAATCATGCTAGAGTTCTGCTCTCAAAGGATGATGAGTGGAACTATCACAGTGTACATCTAAAAAACATATTCAAGTCTAAAGGGAAATTCACATTAGAACTCTTCGTGATGTCATCCAAACTACTCATTTGCTCAAGGAGGTCAAAGTCAAAAGAGTTGAACCGTACGAGAGTTCTGTTCTCAGAGGATGATGGATGGAACTATCAGAATGCACATCTAAAAATCATATTCAAGTCTAATGGGAAATTCACATTAGAACTCTTCGTGATGTCCTCCGTAATATTCATTTGCTCAAGGAAGTCAATATCAGAGTAGTTGAATCATACTAGAGTTCTGTTCTGATGTAAAGAATTTGAAATCGAGTTGAACGCAAAATTCGCTCAAATCTTATAATTTTGAAAAATAAACACTTGATTTTACAACTATTTCTACTATATGCATACTTATATTCGTGGTTAGTTGAGGCGAGAAAAACTGGTTTACTGTAAGCTCCACCTTTAGCCAAAACGAATCTTTGAAGAGGTTTGGCTTGTATCAGTTCGTCCTCTTACCTTTGAGATGGTTGAATAATTTTTCTATGTCAAAATCAAACCCGTATGCAACGCGGATCCTTCCCAGTTGATGACTAATAACTTTACTTACTACATATTTGAGCACAATGGAGCACATTTGCATTTCCATCTACTCACTGAGAGTTCGACATCTTCTCGCTGGAAATGCAAATTTTGTCAAATGGACATCTTCGCACAACTCCGGGTCTTATAACGACATCTCCAAGCTAAATATGATACGCCGAATTCTCGTCATCGCAAAAGAATTCAGAAATGTTTTGAAAAGAATGGATATTTTTGATAAAAATATATCTATAACCTACATTAGGGATTTAATATAGAATCATATGGGCCATCAATACGGGTCAAGGTTACATCAACTTTACATATACACTTCCGTCATGCAAGCTGAATGATTAATATATAGTTCAATGCAGATTGTCTGTTGATTTTGTCCAATATAATTTGTGTTAATATATGATGTGTTCCATAACCCGATGAAGTTGTTCATGGAGATACTTCTCATTAACACTGGAAACCTGCAAGCGAATGGTGGACCGCCTTTATCCAGCTATTTGATATCCCCGAATCAGTAAAGAAAATGCCCGAACCATGACAGAAAACGTTTGCGGAGCTTGCGAAAGGGCGACTCTTGGCCTTTCCTACTCAGTTTCTCTTAATGGAAGTTGAGGCAATGAAAGGAGCGATGAGACGATATCTAGCGTAGCTCAGTGGGACCACGATGGCCAATTCGGCGTGGCTTGGCCACTCACAGCATGTCGCAATCGGACTGCTAAGTTGACGTGACGAGTGCAAGTTATGTGAGGGCAAGTGATGTTCAATCTCTGTTTTTGTGTGGTCATCCCACGGAAGTCATTGTTCGAAGCTCATTGCACTTGAAGTCTGGAAGCCAGGTCTTGATAAGCTCAGGCGAGTCTCAGAAGCTTAATTGTGTATCTATTGCTGAAATGGTTTTCATAAAAACCAGAAATACTCAGGACCTAATGCGTGAAATTTCAACATGTTCGTAGTACTTATTCATGGGAGAAGAACAGGCTAAAGAATCAGAGACTCACTAACTCTTTCACCATTCTCCTTTGGTAGAATGTTTTGAATCTAGCGATTGCATGTTTCTTCATGAAGAGGAAAGTTCTAGAATAAACTTCAGATTCAAATCTAGAGGATAAAAGAGTTTTTCGATAAGGACAAACAGATTCAATATTCCATGTGATCGTGAAGTTTTCTCTGGCTCACAGTCTAGGCAAGACACACCTTTCTAAAGATCAGGTTTACAAAACGCTTCGGAAAATTTAAACAGCACGGCTGCTTTCAGAACCAACGAAATAGAACGAATGAATCCAAGCAACCAGTCACATCACTTGCCGTTCTAATGCATACTACTATTAGATCAAGGGTTCTGCAGACTGTATAGTGAAACTTGAGAAAGCTGCCATACCAATCGGAGACGCTGATGATAGAAAACCAGTTGATAGTTAAATTTCTGAAACAATCCCTTCAAGATAAAAAACTAAAGAACTGCCTATAACGATCTTGCAGGTACCCGTTAAAAGAGTAAAATTCTTTTGAGCACATTTTATTTGCAGAAATATTATCATGGCTGTATACAAATAATGCACATTGCTGATCAATGTCACCAGTATGCAACAGTCTTATTAGTTTGAATATCTTACTTGGGCACTCTAGATTTAGATGTAGCTGCGTCTGATGTTTGTACCAAACATATTGACACGAGGAAAAAGTGAATTCGCAGATAACAAACAAAACTTGCTCCATCTTTCCGGTCCGAACGACATTGATGGAAGCTCAGACTTCGGAGTTACTGTACTCCGGACGAAAGATACAGATACAGCGAGCAGAACGAGATCTGCAGAATCTGATTATCATAATGCTCTCTACTAGAGCAGTTGCTAGGTTCACTTCTCCTTTACTTGAGCCACCTCCTCGCCCGTTCATTCCGATAGTTATGTAAGCAACCTATAATAAGCATTCTTCTACTAATCGATGAAAGAATACTTGTGTATCTAAATGTGACAGGATGAAGGCTTGCAAAGGTAGAACTCTATTTTTCCGAAAATCGTGGTCCCCAGAGCGTCAACAGGTGATAGAAGAGTAAACTTAATGTAACCACTTGCAAATCGGTACTCTCCAGAGCCACCCAATATAGGGAACTCATCAATGGCACCCACTGTCAAAGCAGTTTGAATCCCCCCGGAAGAGATTGTACCATTTTCAGAATCCTTCATCGCGATCAGGTCCAGAACTCCAGTAATATAAATCCTGGGAGGCATCGCTGGGGTAATCGGGGAACCGAAATTAGTCACGGTCTGTAATCTTAGTCTGCCGACTTCTCTCGAATTGATATTCGCCGACTCAACCAGCGCAAGGTCTGACACTCTCACTACGGGATTCTTCAATCCTGTGGCAGGAAAAATTTGCACTTCGGATGGGTTTGCGGTGTCAGCCCCATTCCGAACCGCGTAGAGTACAAACGAAGGATTCCGGGGGCCAGAAGAAGTGGAGTCCACATTCTGGAGACTGCAAAGTCCCAGAAGGACGATCATGGCAGTCTTCACAACTGAAGCATCAAGGCCCGAGCTTGCTCTAGATGTAGCCATAGTCGTAAGAGAACGAAAAGGGGCTGAAACTCTTTTGATTCTGCACAGCAGTTGAGAGGAGAGGACTGGATATGAATGTTCAATGATCTGCTATATATATATATATGAGAGCGAGCTTGACTTTATGCTTTTTTCTGAAGCGGAACCGTCACATATACAATAATTGAACAGAACTTTACGACGTTGACATGAACACCTACATCTGCATCCGAGACTTTGGAACATACGGAGGAACTTTCAAGAAGGGAGAATGCAATAACTCGTTGGTTGCTAAAGCAGAGGAAAGTTGCTCAAATTATCCCAAAAATGAAGACTTGACCTGAGTGATGTCTTCTTGCCAAGATCATCGACACTAAAGAAACATAGAGTAAGATTTAAGAGGTAACCTTCTTGTTCCGCATTCTAGATCTTCTTTTCAATGGCTTCTTCTGATGAATCTAAGTGTCTCTAAAGGTCAAATCACTCACTCAGCTCAAATCTCGGGAGAGGAAGTCTGCACTGAGATTTTTTGCTGTTACTCCGAGGCAATCTCACCAGCACGTCGAGTAAAGCTACATTGGACAATTAAGGGCTTCAATGATGAATGACGAACTTCGAGGACGATTGCTATATCTTCAGCAAAGTTGCAAAGAGATTTTTTCACGAGTAAAGCTACATTGGACAATTAAGGGCTTCAATGATGAATGACGAACTTCGATGACGATCGCTAAATCCTCAGGAAAGTTGCAAAGAGATTTTTCAGGACGACTCAAAATGTATCACGAGTATGAATTGTCTAACGACACCTGTAAAGGACTGAGATCTGAGATCATGTTAAAGGCGGAAGTGTCTCCAAGCCCGATCCAGTTGAAAAGCGAAACTGGCACGGGAGTATGAAATATTGTATGAAACCTATGAAAGACTGATCCAATCACAAAGCAATTATGCAACGTGGTTCTGACAAATTTGAAAACTCCTGTAAAAGACTTGAGATTTGAGGTCATGGTACCTGCAGAACTTTATCCAAACTGATCCAATCGAAAAGCCGAGCACGACTTCTGAGATCATCAGTTGTACAAGTGAAGTGACGTTAACCATGTACTGACGATCAAGTAAAGCTCGTAGCCGCAAGAACAGGGATGACACACGCGGCAGGTCTGCCTTTATTAAGAGAGTTAAATGCAAGATTCTCACGAACGTGATTAGCTAGCTGGTCTCATGAGGTCGTCCATTTGACTCATAACTTGTTCGTTCGAGAGGAATGTTCGAATCGTTCCAGCTTGGTTTTTTATATAGATTGTCACATTATTCTCCGTTGAAATTGTGGATATATATATAAAATCGAAATGTTAGATATCTCAAAGATTGATAATTTTTCCTTATACTTAATTTAAAGATCAGATTACAAAACATGAGTAAATTTTCAATTTCATATATTTAAAAATGATAATTGATTATTAAATATAAACGTGAATATATATAATATCAATTTTTCATCTTAATATCTGTAGTTTTTTGATATGGTATATTAGGAATTAATTAAAATTCTAACTTAATTATCATGACTGCATTCCTATTCATGGTTAGGATTTATTCTTATTACCTTCAGTTTATGTAATGAACAATGTTGGATCTAATTTTACAATTACTTGCAAAATTTTCTAGCAATTATGAAGAGTATAGTTTCCACGATCCTAATCAAATATATATAACAGTCCAGTAAATTCTCACTATATAAGAAAGTTGACAATGAAAAAATTCAAACTTTTTTAATAAAATATTATTACATTCTTGTGAACTTAGAGAGTTCATACAACTCTCGATGATACTTCTTAGGGTTTTCAAAACTTGTACCCTGTATGTGTATGTAGTTCACAACAGTGAACCACGTATGTTCACTGTAGACTGTGCTTGTACGTTATCGTGTTTACAACGTATGAGTGCGTTCAACTGTCCTGAATCACCTGACTCTTGGTATGTTTGGTTGTTTTGCCCTTGCATCTTGCTAGCAAAGCACAAGGTTGGGAAATAAAGCTTTACGAATTCGGTGGAGAGCAAGAGGAAGACATAGACAAAGAGAGGAGTCGCATGTATGAGAGGAGTCGTGCAAGGATAGTAGTGTTCTGCAGAGTTTCCAGTCTCACACAATGAACTTTTCTTCTTGTAAAAGATCGAGAGATGAAATAAATTTGGCCAAACCTTAAGAGATCAAAAACACGCCATCGCGGTTCGCGATTGATTTCTACCAAGTGGGTTTCGCAGTGCTACGCGAGGAATGAGGGAGGTAAATGTGAGTTGTGATGAAAATTTGAGAGTGCTTGGTCTTTGAGTAGTCTGAATGAAAAAGGAGGAAGAAACGAAAGAATTGAACGGTTAGAATTTTGCTAATTTTTTTTCCTTTTTGATTGTGGATTGCAAATTTGTTTGATGTTTTAGGCTATGAAAACTGGGAGCGTAAGGAATTCAAAGAGAAGAGAAATTGAAAACGACACGCAACGATGGTGATGAAATGACTCATTTTAGACAAGATTCAAAGGTTAACAAACAATAGTTTAAAAATCAAGAAGTTTTTTTTTATTTCTCAACGAGATTATCATTAAGGCTTCATAAGTTGGGGTTAATGACAATAATCATTATCCCTAAAATTTGAGAAAAAACTGATTCAGTTTTTTCTCAAATATAAACATTTTCTTGAATTTTTTTTTGTCAAATGTGAGCACAAAACTGTGCTCACATGTCTTTTTACCCTTATGAGAGTTAAAATTTTGGATGTAAGCTCTTGCAAAATTATGCTTGGAGTTTTCTGGAAGTTTTGGCAAGATTAGGAGTTCGTGTAATAGTTAGTAGACAAAGGTGCGGAATGGGGCCTTCACGGCAGGGTCTCCGGCGAAGTGCCTTCGGTGAAGTTCCTTCGGGGAAAGGCCTTCGGCGAAACAGTGAAACCCTCATAACGTTTTCAATGTGTGACGCCTTGACTCAGTTAGTGTCTCGTTGGAAAGAGCTCGCGACGCTTGTTCCAACGAGACCAAGAACTCTTCAAACGGATAAGGCGTCACTGAGTTATGAGCGTCGAAAGCGGCGGATAGCGTAGGACAACATCGAACCGGAAGACATCGAACCGGCGAACATCATTCGTGCGTTCGACGATAACAGATTACAGGCCTTCGGCGGTGTGCCTTCGGCGAAGGGTAAAACCGGCATAACTTTCGCAATTCGTAACGGGTTGACTCAGTTAGGTTCTCGTTGGAAAGAGCTCGACCTGCTCGTTCCAACGAGCCCAAAAACTCTTCAAACGGAGCAAGGATCCGTGAGTTATGGGTGTCGGAAGTGACTGTTATAGATAGGCAAAGGTGCGGTCGTGCGTCTTCGGCGGGTGGATGCCTTCGGCGGTGCTCGGAAGAAGATTCCCTCCGGCGGAGATCGGGTGGTCAGGAATGTAGAATGTACAGGGTGTGGTGGTGGCGACGGCGGCGTGAAGTCGCGCTGGGGGAGCAGGCAGCTACCCATCATTGCGAGTGGGGCATTCAGGCGGGCGGTGTGTGTTTCGGCCTTGGACTTCGAAGTGGGGAATTCGGCCTGGGAACGGAGAGCTGGTGGTGTGCGTGTGTGGAGACAAAAGTGGTGTGCTCGGCCTGGGAGCTGAGAGCTGGTGGTGTGCCAGGGTGTGGAAATCGAAGGTGGGATTAGTAGGAGGAATAGGGTGTGGGTGTGAGTGATTTTTCGCAAGAAAGTGGTGAGAATTAGGAGGGGAGTGTGGAGAGTTCGAAGTAGGAGGAAGCAAACTCTCGTGGGTGGAGAGTCATATCAGAGAGTGAAATTAAATTGGATCTGAGATTGAAGTGTAAAATCTGTGAGTGGGAGCTGAAATCAGAGTGGAAGATCTGAGAATGGGAGCTGAGAGTGAAGTGAAATCTGAGACTGAAATCTGACAGTCGGAATCTGAATTTGAAACTGAAAAAGGAGAGTTGAATCTGAGAGAAGAATCTGGTGGGGTCTGAAGGTGGAAGCTGAGAAATCAATGCTGAAATCTGAGTAGGAATTGGGAGTGGGACTGGGATCTAGGAAAGCCCACAGCGGCTGTAGTATTGAGGAAGTGAGCTAGAGTTGGGTTAGATCTTTATGTAACAAAGAGCTTGTCTGATGCTCTTGTGGAAATAGTAGACAGCAGGTGTTAGTTTCAGTTTTGGACAATTTGTCTATGGAAGAGCAAGTGTTTATCATCTCATTGTCTTGAATACACTGTGAGAACATGGCTTGTGATAAGAGAAGTTAGATTATGGGAGTTCGAACCCCCACCTGGACTACAACCGCTGAAGGGTGGGAAGGTTCGGCTCACATCAAACTGATCTTTAAGGAGAGATTTTGAATGATCCGAGGACAAGCTTGGCCTCGGATCATTCTAAGAATGATATTCATCTATTTTAATTGTATCTACACCCAACACTAGTGCTATGTTATCCTATAGTTGCAATTATGGCATAAGACATAAGCCAATGTGAACCATAAATTCAGATGTTTGTGCATATATGTGGTAACCCACTTTTTGTTTTTCGTCAGAACTAAAACATTTTTGAATAGTAAGTACCGTGGTAGTAGCTGTAAATAGTAATCGGTACGCAAAGCTAGAGTAAAAAGAGGATCAAGGACAGTCAAGGGGTTTTGGGCTTAGGCCACGGTGGAACGCTTGGAATGGAACGGGCGGCTCACGCTGCAGGACTCGCTTCGAGCACCTTCGGCGGTAGATCACTCATAACTTCCTCAATTCTTAATGCCTTGAGTTACTTAGGGTCTCGTTGGAAAGAACTTGACGCTCTGGTTTAAACGAGCCCAAGAACGCCTGGAACGGATGAGGACTCAGGGAGTTGTGACTGTCGGAAGATGCGAAGGAGAACGCCTACGGATAGGCGGAAGGAGTTCGTCGTCGGCGGAATATCCACCTTCGGCCCTAGATGTTCGCCTTCGGCGACGGACGTCTTCGGATCAACTTCAAGTCAGCAAACTCGGGGTCGGCGAACTCGAGGTCGGAGAACTCGGAGTTGGCAAACTCGGGGTCGGCGAACTCGAGGTCGGAGAACTCGGAGTTGGCA